GTGGCGAGCAGCAGCAGCACCCCCCCCCCACCGCAGCAGCAGCAGCAGCAGCAGCAGCAGCAGCAGCAGCAGCTGACCAACGATCCACCTGAGAGCCTCCGCGTTGCAGTCGGGCAGCAGCAGCAAATCGAAAGTCCAAACAGCAATTTGGCAGCAGCAAAAAAGGTGGCAGCAGCGGACCCAAGTGGGGACTGTCTTTACGAAGAAGCCAATCAGCAGCTGCGAAGTCCCCAGCTGCTCGAAAAGGCTGTTCTCCGGGTCCTCTCTGCAAACCCTAAACCCTAAACCCTAAACCCTAAACCCTAAACCCTAGCCCTAGCCCTAGGTGCTGCGCGCTGCGGCTGGCTGGGGGGTGGGGCGAAGGTTCTGCGGCGACTGCAGCCACTCTGCTGCTGCTGCTGCAGTGCTGCTGCTGCTGCTGCAGTGCTGCTGCTGCTGCTGCAGTGCTGCTGCTGCTGCTGCTGCAGTGCTGCTGCTGCTGCTGCTGCTGCTGCTGTGCTGCTGCTGCTTACTCTCCGGATATGACGACTGTCGAATACGCCCAACAGGTGAAAAAGAATATCAGGGACTGCAAAGACACCCCACACAAACCCTAAACCCTAAACCCTAAACCCTAAACCCTAAGCCCTAAACCCTAAACCCTAAACCCTAAACCCTAAACCCTAAACCCTAAACCCTAAACCCTCACCTGGAAAAGCCACAATCCAACAAAAACATAAACTGAAGAAGTCATCGGGCAGGCGATTTCAGAGTGCACGCGAGGCGCGCTGTAAGTGTAGCCTGAATAAGACAAAACCCTAAACCCTAAACCCTAAACCCTAAACCCTAAACCCTGAACGCTAAGCCCTAAACCCTAAACACTAAACCCTAAACCCTAAACCCTAAGCCCTGGAAAGCAGGAGGTACGAGACACAAAAAGGAATGAAACGTCCCCAGCCCTGAAAAATAAGTCCTAAACCCTAAACCCTAAATCCTAAACCCTAAACCCTAAACCCCAAACCCTAAACCCTAAACCCTAAACCCCAAACCCTAAACCCTAAACCCTCACCTGCGAGCAATATAACTGATCCCAAAAAGTAAATGAGGCCAACCCAAAAGAAGTAAGACACGAGGCTGCAGCGCAAGCGCAGCACTGACAGGCAAAACTGCTGCTGCTGCTGCTGCTGCTGCTGCTGCTGCTGCTGCTGCTCTTGCTGCTGCTGCGGAGGACACGAATTGATTGCTTTGAGCACTTGCTTCTTTTAGATCTCAGAAACCTCTGTTTTAGGGTTTAGGGTTTAGGGTTTAGGGTTTAGGATTTTCAAAGACCTCAGCTTCAAAATGTCCGTCCAGAAGTTGCGACAGCACATGAGACACAAAAGGGTCCCATCGAGGGTGTCCGACGAAGCTGCGCACAAACCCTAAACCCTAAACCCTAAACCCTAAACCCTAAACCCTAAACCCTAAACCCTAAACCCTAAATACAAACCCTAAACCCTAAACCCTAAACCCTAAACCCTAAACCCTAAACCCTAAACCCTAAACCCTAAACCCCTAAACCCTAAACCCTAAACCCTAAACCCTAAACCCTAAACCCTAAACCCTAAACCCTAAACCCTAAATACTGGGGGGGCTGATCTGGCCTTTCTCACCTTTGTTTTCCTCCGCCATTTTCGCTCAAGTAGAAAAACAAAACCCAAAAGGAGAGGAACGCAGCAAAGCAGCGAGACAAGGCTGCTGCTGCTGCTGCTGCTGCTGCTGCTGCTGCTGCTGCTTGCGTGAATGCTGTTTCGTTCTTTTTTCTCAAATTTGCGTCCAAATAAAATAAAAAAGAAATAAAAACAAAATGGATTTAAATAAATAATTATTTAACTTGAAGATGGGCCAAAGAAAGAAAGGAAGACCTGTTGGCTAGCTGCTGCAGCTGCCTCAGAGTCACCCTGGATGCAAAAACATCGGAATTTCGGGATTTTAAGTCCCTTTTGCAGCTTTTTAAGTTCAAATTACTTTTTTATTTCCTTTTTTTAATTCAAATTGCTTTTATTCCGCCAGAAAAGACCCCAGGGGGCCCCCAAGGCGAGCAGAGGGTTTGAGGGGCCCCCAGCCCTGTCTGTGTCTGAGGTGTAGTGACACCTGAAATGTGGAAGTTGAACTCAATTGTTTTCTCATTTGTTTCATTTTAAATTCATTTTAAATTATTCTAAATTTATTTTAAATTATTTTAAATTATTTAATTGTTTTAAATTGTTATTTTGCTCAAATTATTCCATCTCGTCGTCCACGGAGCGCAGGCAGCTCGCTGGCCTCTGCATGCGACAAACCCTAGATTAGGGTTTAGGGTTGTGTAAACCCTGAATTCGGGTTTACGGCCTGCAGCGCACTCCCCTAAGCCCTAAACCCTTGCAATTGTTGCTTTCTTAAGTGCCTAAAGACCACGGCAAAGCTAAACCCTAAACCCTAAACCCTAAACCCTAAACCCTAGGTTACAGGTGGGCCTTCTCGGCCCACTAACTACTGCCCCAAACCCTAAACCCTTAAATGGTGGTTAAGCTCCCTAAGAAAGGCTAGCTTTGGCAGCTCGCCAGTAGCTTCTAGGGTTTAGGGTTTAGGGTTTAGGGTTTAGTCTTTTTTTCAGTAAACGAAAGCAGATAATTAATTGACTAATGGCCACCAAAATGCAACGAAAAGTACGAGAACTTCAGTTGCTGCTGCTGCTGCTGCACTTGCAGCTGCTGCTGCTGCACTCGCTGCTGCTGCTGCTGCACTCGCTGCTGCTGCTGCTGCTGCACTCGCTGCTGCTGCTTCTGCTGCACTCGCTGCTGCTGCTGCTGCACTTGCTGCCGCAACAGCTACACTCGCTGCTGCTGCAGCTACACTCGCTGCTGCTGCTGCTGCACTTGCTGCTGCTGCTTCTGCACATGCTTCTGCTTCTGCTGCTGCTGCTGCTGCTGCGCATTTTGCTGCTCGTGCAGCAGCAGCAGCTTTTCTCAGGATTGGCGCTGCACGCCGCAGCTGCAGCTGCTGCTGCAGCCCTCACTCTGCTGCAGCACTTGCTGCTGCTGCTGCAGGCTGCAGCAGCTGCTTCACTGCCGCTTCTTCTCCCTGAAGTCAGCTTGCTGCTGCTGCTGCTGCTGCTGCTGCTGCTGCTGCTCGCCAGCAGCAGCAGCAGCAGCTCTCCTCAGAATGGGTGCAGCATACCGCAGTCGGGTGTACATACACCTGAAGCCCGGGCGATCGTGGAGAGCATCCCAGTCCCTAAAAACAAAAATAAATAAATAAATAAATAAATAAATAAATTAATTAATTAATTAATTAATTAATTAATTAATTAATTAATTAACAAATAAATAAATAAGTCTAATTAATTATTTATTTACTTATTTATTTATTTATTTATTTATTTATTTATTTATTTATTTATTTATTTATTTGAGAAAAGAGCACTGCAGCAAAAAGCAAACAATCAAAAAGCGAAAAGCGCAATTAAATCGACTTCGAATTAATTTAAAATTAAATTAAATAATTAATCAAACTAAATTAACAATTGAATTAAATTAAATAAACAATTTAATTAATTAATTAATTAATTAATTTAAATAAATAAATAAATAAATAAATAAATAAATAAATAAATAAATAAATAAATAAATAAATAAATAATTACATTTTTTGAGGCCCCAGTTGTCTTATGGGTTTGAGGCCCCCAGAATGGCGGCAAAGCGAAATGAGGCAAATGAGGGCCCCCAGCAGCAGCTGCGCCACAGCCTGCAGCAGCAGCAGCAGCAGCAGCAGCAGCAGCAGCAGCAGCAGCAGCAGCAGCAGGAGGCAGCAGGGGCAGCAGCAGCAGCAGCAGAGAGGCGCGAGTGATATGTGGGCGTCGGAGCTGCAGGGCTAGCGGACACGAAGCACAGGAGCAGCAGCAGCAGCTGCTGCAGCAGCAGCAGCTGCTGCTGCTGCTGCAGCAGCAACAACTGCAGCAGAAGTAGCAACAACAGCAGCGGTAGCAGCACTTATTTGCTGCTGCTGCTGCTTACTGTCCAGGGAGGAGAAAATGCATCAGCAGCAGCACCTGCTGCTGCCAGAGCCCGGCGCCCTACACCACACCAAGCAGCAGCAGCAGCAGCAGCAGCAGCAGCAGCAGCAGCAGCAGCAGCAGCAGCAGCAATAGAAGGAAGAACAGTAGCAGCAGCCGCAGCAGCAGCAATGACAGCAGCAGCTGCTGCTGCAGAAATTACGGCAGCAGCGCCGGCAGCAAATGTAGCAGCAGTAGCTGCAGCAATCCAGGCGTCAGCAGCAGGAGTTGTAGCGGCAGCATTCAACCCAGCAGCAGCAGCAGCAGCAGCAGCAGCAACTGCTGCAGCAGCAGCACAAGCAGCTGAAGCAACTGCAGCAGCAGCACCAAAGTGAAGGCTGCAGTAGGCAGCGGGAGCAGCAGCAGCTGCTGCTGCAGCAGCAACAGGACCAGCAGCAGCTTCAGGAGAAGCAACGGCAGCAGCAACTGCAGCAGCAGCAGCAGCCACAGCGAAAGGAGTAACAACACCTTTAAGTGCAGCAACAGCAGCAGCAGCAGCAGCAGCAGCAGCAGCAGCAACAGGCCTACCTCTCACAACCGTTATGGCGGCCCGCAGCAGCAAGAATGCTCCTGCTGCCAGAAAGATGCGGGGTCCAATCATGGTGCTGCTGCTGCTGCTGCTGCTGCTGCTGCTGCTGTTGTTGCAGTTGCTGTTGCTGCTGGTGCTGCTGCTGCAGCTAAGCTGCTGCTGTTGCTGCTGCTCCCGCTGAGATCTTGGCACAGCTGACCTGCTGCGGGGAGGCCTTGCTGCTGCTGCCGCTGCTGCTGCTGCTGCCGCTGCTGCTGCTGCTGCTGCTGAATCTGAAGCTGCTGATGCGGTTGCTCCTGCTGGTGCTTCTGTTGCAGCTGGCTTGCTGCTGTTGCTGCTGCTGCTGCTGCTGCTGCTGCTGTCTGTATTTGCTGCAGCTGGGGCCTCCTGGGGGCCCCTGGCAGCTGCTGCTGCGCCGAATGAAGCAGCTAAATGGGAAGAGCCTTTTTTAATTTATTTAATTAAATTAATTTTTAAAAATTAATTTAAATTTTAATTCTTTTCTCTTGAAAGCCTCTGGGCGCAGCCAAAAAAGAGCTGCTGCTGCTGCTGCTGCTGCTGCTGCAGCAGCAGCAGCAGCAGCGGGGCTGGCAGTCGGCCGCGGGCGCAGCAGCAGCAGCAGCAGCAGCAGCAACTGCAGCACAAAAAGTATTTATTTGCTGCATTTGAATCCGTTTGCTGCGCTGCTGCTGCAATACAGCTGAGGAAGCTCAAGAAGCAGCAGCTGCTGCTGCTCTCTGCTGCTGCTGCTGCTGCAGCTGCTGCTGCTGCTGCTGCTGCTGCTGCAGCGTTTTCTCTTTTATCCCTCTTAGAGCATTTAATTTTTTGTCCCTTTTCTCTGCAATTTATTTATTTTATTTATTTATTTATTTTATTTATTTTATTTATTTTATTTATTTTATTTATTTTATTTATTTTATTATTTTATTTATTTTATTTATTTTTCTTTTTATTCTTTTTGTCTAAAATTGAAAAGACAAAAAGAGGCCAAAGAAGCAGCAGCAAATAAAAGACGCGAAAAGAAAATAAAAAAATAAAAAATAAATTTAAAATAAATAAAAAGAAATTAAAAAGGAATTTAAATCAATTTAAAAAATTAAAAAAGAATTAAAAGGATTTTTAAGATAATTAAAAACAATTTAAAGTAAATAAATTAAATTAAATTAAATTAAATTGAATTAAATTAAATTAAATTAAATTAAATTAAATTAAAAATGGGGCATTCCGTGTCTTGTCTTTCTTTAAAAAGAAAAAAGAAATTAACAGAAGAACAAATTCAAGAAGCAAGAAGAGTGAGTGCTGCTGCTGCTGCTGCTGCTGCTGCTGCTGCTGCTGCTGCTGCTGTTGTTGTTGTTGTTTATTGTGTGTTGCGGGTGTTGCTGCTGCTGCTCGCGGGTGTTGCTGCTGCTGCTGCTGCTGCTGCTTGCACCGTTGCTGCTGCTGCTTCTGTCCCCTGCCTACTGTGTTACGCCGCTGCGCTGCTGCTGCTGCTGCTGCTGCTGCTGCTTCTGCTGCTGCAGCAACGACTGGAGGCAGCAGAAAGGAGGCAGCTCGAAGCAGACACGCGAGGAGGTGTATCTGCAGCAAGAGCAGCGCAGCTGCGTGCTGCTGCTGCTGCTCCTGCTGCAGCTCCTGCTGCTGCTGCTCCTGCTGCAGCTCCTGCTGCTGCTGCTCCTGCTGCAGCTGCGGCAGATTACAGGAGCGCACGCCAGTAGCAGCAGCAGCAGCTGCTGCTGCTGCTTTTGCTGCTGCTGCTTGAGGTCTAGGGCATCTCTGGGCTTTTCTGTCTCCGTCACAACTCCAAACTGAATTTATTCAATTAATTATTTATTTATTTATTTATTTATTTATTTATTTATTTATTTATTTATTTATTTATTTATTTATTTATTTCCAGCTTTTTTCCAGTTGACAGAGTGGGACACAGAAATAGCAGCAGCCGTAGCAATGACAGCAGCAGCAGCAGCAGCAGCAGATGCAGCAACAGCAGCAGCACAGCAGCGGCAGATGCAGCAACAGCAGCAGCAGCAGCAGCAGGCGAGTTGCGTGTCTTGCTGCTGCTGCTGCTGTGTCTATCGTCAGCAAACGAGCAGCAGCAGCAGCCTTTTCGCGTCGATGACTCCATTATTTTATTTGTTTTCTTTTTTATTTTTAATTTAATTTAATTTTATTTTATTTTATTTTATTTTATTTTATTTTATTTTTATTTTTTTATTTCTTTCGATTGAGCTGCTGCATGCGCAGCTGTGCGTACACCTAAAGGCCTCCCGGGAACAAAACTCCCAAAAGGCTTTTTTTAATTTTAATTTAATTTGAATTTATTTGAATATTTATTTATTTTAATTGTGGCTTTTTAATTGTTATTATTTAAATTGTATTTTATTTTAATTATAGTTTCGTTCTGTTGGATTTCTCCCGAAAGGAAAGTTTTTCCATTCCCTCGGCATCTCTATTGCTCTTTTATTTATTGCTAATTAATCAATTAAATATATTTATTTATTTCATTTTTAAATAAATAAATAAATAAATAAATAGATAAATAAATGAAGTAGAATGAGATCAAAGGCTGTTCCGTGCGAGTTCGTTTGCTGCTGCTGCTGCTGCTGAAGGAAAGCAAAGAAAAGGCATTTTAAATTTGAATTGAAGTGGATTTATTTATTAATTTTTGAATTAGTAAATGAATTAATACTTATTTATTATATTTCTCATTTATTTATTTTATTTAAAACTCATTTATGTCTTTTCGCGCGGCGGCGAACGGCGGCGGCCGCGCAGCTGGGGTGTACGTACACCCCCAAAAGCCCAAAACGCATGCATGCGTTTGGGATTTTAAATTTAAATAAAAATTAAATTTAAATAAAATATAAATTTAAATTCATTTAAATTAAAATATAATAAAAAGAAGAATTAAATGCGTCAA